CCCTACTGAAATGTAGGTACTCAGCAGATTATTCATCAAATAAATAAATCAACAGTGATGGGTGGGGGGGGGGATGGATGAATGGGTGTAAAGATGGATCCACAGATTCACAGATTGGTAGATGGGTGAGCGAATGAAAGGATGTGTGGAATGGTGGATGGATGGACAGCATGGATGTAGATGGCTAGATGAAGAAAGAGACGGATGGATGAGCGGATGGGTGGATGGACAGATGGATGGGCAGGTGGCTGAGGACTGGTGGGAATTATCTACAGGGGTCCCATGCCCGGCAATGCCTCTGACAGGGGAGGGCCTCTTGTCCCTGCCTAGATCAACCCACTGGAGTCAGACGAGGTAAAAAGTCCTGTGACTTTACCTCAGCAACAAGAATGACAGTGTGAGAAGGTGGGCCGTGAGATTCCTAGGTCCCCCAGGGACCCCACAGGGGCTGATGCTACAACCCCAGCTAGAAGAGCAAACGGCATTGGGAAGCGAGGGACACCCGGAGCCAGGGAGCAGCACTGAGGACGGAGGGAACCGAGTAAAACTGGAAAGTAAATTCATTCTTCATGTTCCCTGGACTGCTGCCTCTCAAGGGAAATGCGAGGCTGAAGTCTGATCGACAGGAATGGCTGAGCTGCAGGCACTCACTTTCCTCTCAAAGGCTGTTATGTCCTTTGGGATTCTGAATGGTCTTTGAGTCATTCAGTCCTCAAGGTCGTTCTGTCCCAGTGAGAGTCATGAGAGAAGACAGCCGTGGGGCAGGGCTAGTTGGAAAGCCCTTGGAAGGATGGCTTTGCCTCCGTGTGCAGATGCAGTGAACTCCACTCCTGACTGGCCCCCAAGTTCGCCGGCACAAGGCCTGTGATTCTACTGAACATCAAAGTAAACCATTTGCATTCTGAGGTGAACGGTGGGCCCCTAGCCAGGACCTGCCTGAGACCAGGTGCACACACGAAGCACACGGGCTGCCCTTAGGTGTGTGTACCCAGCGCTGCCTCCTGGCTCCTGAGTCATACTGACCTCATTGCTGGGGGAGAACACCAAGGCACTCCAGCCAGGCAGTGGCTCCTGGACCCAGGGCTGGCATGGCTCTGTCTTCCTGCACAGTGATGGGCAGTGGGAGGCTCAGAAAAGAGAGCGGGTAGTCAGCAACCTGCACCTCCAGAGCAGCCAACCACAGTCCCTTGTCTGTTGGTTACAATATCCTACCGAACCGCACGACACACCACAGTGACCTTCCTCCTATTTGTCTCTCAATGCGTCTCAAATCCCCATCCAGTGTGGATGCGGACAGATCCTGTGGACAGTGGGGTGGAGGGGACAAAGGGGGCGGGGCACAAGGGGGAGACCTCAGGACCTGAAGGTGGGAGGGGACACCTCTACTAACCAGGTGACCTTGGGCCGCACCCGAGGACCTGAGCAGTGGCAGGGAAGACAGAATGCTGCTGAGCCAGCCTAGGCCCAGGGTGGGATGGGTGTGAGGTTGCTGTGGCCCTACTTCCCAAACCTCTACCCTCTGTGAATACCTAAATGCCTAACTGCTTCACCTTGGGAGCTGGTCAAAAAAGCTCCCATGCTGGGGCTGCGGCTCACACCTGGAATCCTAGCTACTCAGGAGGCTGAGATCTGAGGATCTCAGCTTGAAGCCAGCCAGGGCAGAAAAGTCCCTGTGGGGCTCTTATCTCCAATGAGCCACTCCAAAACCAGAAATGGAGCTGTGGCTCAAAGAAGCAGTACACTAGTCTTGAGCAAAAAGAGCTCAGGGACAGTTCCCAGGCCCTAAGTTGAAGCCCCATGACTGATTTAAAAAAAAAAAAAAGCTCCCATTTCCCACTTAGTGCGACTTGGTGATGAGCCTATGATACCTGGAAGCAGGGAGATTCGTCCAATGCTTTATATTCGGTGGCAAATGAGGTTTGATACAGAGAAGCTGGCTGTGACATTGGTCCTGATGGGAGTTGTGCTGTTGAGGGGCCAGTGCACCGGGGCCAGGGGCACGACCTCACCTGCGGCTCCTGCCTGCAGGTGATGCCCCTACCCGCAGGTGTCCCATCTGACCACCTCTGCCCGGCATGGCCTGGTGGTGAGTGGGACACTGGTGGGGGAGGTGGGGGAGGGTTACCTGACAGGCCCTGCTCACCAGCCTGGGCTCACAGCCAGCTTGAAGCAGAGCATGGCTGAGGGCCATGTGGAGATTCCAGACTAGCCTTTGCATCCTGTCTTGCTTCCCTGCTGTTATCTATGTGATGGTCCTTGTTGCTTCAGGGCCCGAAGGGTCCTCTTTTGGTGAAACGTGAGGGTCTTTAATGCAGTTGTCATGAGTGTGCTTCTGGGGACACAAGGCCTCTGCCCTGAAGGTGGGCTGCTTCCCTGACTCCAGGAGCCTGGAGCCACATTGCCCTCACTTCAGACGTTTTTAAAAATGAAATTTAACCATGGAGGTATTATCTCCTCAGAATTTCTCAGGGCCAGACCTGAGTGAAGCCAGGACCTGGTCACAAGGGATGTCTCAGCCCAGCCCATGTAGCTCTGGGCACCAGCCCTGGTGACTTGGCCTCTGTCTTGGAGGAAGTGGGCTGTCAGGGCTGGGGGTGGTCTGGCCATAGCTGCAGTGACAGAGCCTTGAGGCTCCAGGCTTGAGTCTCCAGACCTCATGAGGACAGTTAAGTGGTCTTAGTGTCATGAGTCCTACCTTTGCTGTGCTGAAGCCAAGCCCTCTGCTGATGCCCACGCCTGAGCACAGCCCTTGCTCCCTAGTGCCACACCACAACAGAGAGGGTGACCAAAAGCTGAGTCGGGATGTCTCCTGCTGCAGATGCGGGCCCCCCAAAGTCTCAAGCTCTGGTTGTCTTCCCGGCCTCAGTGCAGAAAGTGGTAGAGAATCCTGAGAAATGCACATGGAGTTCTGTCTACAGACCTGTCCCTGGAGGACCACCTCCACCCACTTACCCCCAGCAAAGTCACGGCTTGTATGGAGATGCTGTGGCCATCCTCACACCACTCCCTCCAGGCGGGCAGGCCCACCAAGCACCCCGTCCTGGTGTGGCTCAACAAAGGGCTGGGCCAGAGTGGCTGGTCTCCAGGGCAGGCCTTATGAGCACTGGGACCTGGGCCTCACCCTCACAGCGGTGCAAGGCTCAGTGTAGCCTGAGCACATTCCACCAGACTCAGGCATACCTGCTGAGGGCCTCAAGCAGGCCAGGGCCTCAGGACCCTGTGACGTGGCTCGGGACGCAGCTGCCAGCACGTCCCACTCACAGACACCTTACACAACCGAGTGCCCACGACCAGGTGGGACACACCTGGCGGGTGAAGGCGGTGCCCACACAGAGGCTTTGTGCTGAGCCAGTCAGCTGGCCCGCAGGCCTCAAGGCCCGGAGCCTGGTCTCCGCTCTCCTGCCTCCCGTGCTTGTGACACCACCAGTCCCTGCTGCCCACTCCACGCAGCTCCTCCTGGCTGTGCCATTGACACCGCCTCCTTGTGAGGTACCGGTCACAAAGGGTCCACAACGCTGCTGTTTCTACACGCAGGCCGGCAGGCCAGGGCAGGGCACGCCGCCGTTTCCACACGCAGGCCGGAAAGGCACGCCGCCGTTTCCACACGCAGGCCGGCAGGGCAGGGCAGGGCAGGCCGCCGTTTCCACACGCAGGCCGGCAGGCCAGGGCAGGGCAGGGCAGGGCAGGCCGCCGTTTCCACACGCAGGCCAGGCCAGGCCAGGGCAGGGCACGCCGCCGTTTCCACACGCAGGCCGGCAGGCCAGGGCAGGGCAGGCCAGGGCAGGGCAGGGCAGGGCAGGGCAGGGCAGGGCAGGGCAGGCCGCCGTTTCCACACGCAGGCCGGCAGGCCAGGGCAGGGCAGGGCAGGGCAGGCCGCCGTTTCCACACGCAGGCCAGGCCAGGCCAGGGCAGGGCACGCCGCCGTTTCCACACGCAGGCCGGCAGGCCAGGGCAGGGCAGGCCAGGGCAGGCCAGGGCAGGGCAGGGCAGGGCAGGGCAGGGCACGCCGCCGTTTCCACACGCAGGCCAGGCCAGGGCAGGGCAGGGCACGCCGCCGTTTCCACACGCAGGCCGGCAGGCCAGGGCAGGGCAGGGCAGGGCACGCCGCCGTTTCCACACGCAGGCCGGCAGGCCAGGGCAGGGCAGGGCAGGCCAGGCCAGGGCAGGGCAGGGCAGGGCAGGGCACACCGCCGTTTCCACACGCAGGCCAGGCCAGGGCAGGGCAGGGCACGCCGCCGTTTCCACACGCAGGCCGGCAGGGCAGGGCAGGGCAGGGCAGGGCAGGGCAGGGCAGGGCAGGGCAGGGCAGGGCAGGGCACGCCGCCGTTTCCACACGCAGGCCGGCAGGCCAGGGCAGGGCAGGGCAGGGCAGGGCAGGGCACGCCGCCGTTTCCACACGCAGGCCGGCAGGCCAGGGCAGGGCAGGGCAGGCCAGGCCAGGGCAGGGCAGGGCAGGGCAGGGCACACCGCCGTTTCCACACGCAGGCCGGCAGGCCAGGGCAGGGCAGGGCAGGGCAGGGCAGGGCACGCCGCCGTTTCCACACGCAGGCCGGCAGGCCAGGGCAGGGCAGGGCAGGGCAGGGCAGGGCAGGGCAGGCCGCCGTTTCCACACGCAGGCCAGGGCAGGGCAGGGCAGGGCAGGGCAGGGCAGGGCAGGGCAGGGCACGCCGCCGTTTCCACACGCAGGCCGGCAGGGCAGGGCAGGGCAGGGCAGGGCACGCCGCCGTTTCCACGCGCAGGGCAGGGCAGGGCAGGGCAGGGCACGCCGCCGGAGCACCGGCCACGCGCGGAACCATGGTAAGGGGAGAAACCGGGAGACAACCCAAACCTCCGTTCGAGCACCTAGCCGCGGGCAGAGCCAAGCGCTGCAGCGCGGAGCCTGTGCCCTCTGCCGGGCACGCGGGACCCGGCACGGCCGGCTGCGCCCACGGACCCTGCAGAGCCCGCCCGGCTCAGCCACACGCAGCCCTCCATGCAAACGAAGCCTTGCTCTGCACCAATCACAGCCGGGCCAGCGCCAGCAACGGGCAGCGTCTGCACCAATCCCAGGCCTCCTGGGCCCGCGGGGAAGGGCGCCCCCTGTGGCCCGAGTGGGAGCCGCGGCGGCGGGCGCCAGGGGGCGCCAGTGGCGGGAGCCCGGGCCGCGCGGTCTGTGCGGCCTCGGGCAGAGCGCGGGCTGAGGCCGCCGGAGGACCTGGCCGCCTGGTACTCGGGGCAGGAGGGGCGGCGCCCTGTCCCCAGCCCGGCAGCGCTGCCGCGCCCCGGGGCTCGTGGCTGAAGGGGCCCGGGGTCTGCAGGGCGGACGGCGGGGGGCCTCCGTGGGCGCCGGCCTCCCGGGGAGGGGCGGGCGCGGTGCGGCCCACGGGCGGGCTGCGCAGACGCGGGCCTGCGGGGCGCCGGCCTGCGGGGTCCGAGGGGCTCTGCGGGGTCCGGAGGGGCTCTGCGGGGTCCGGAGGGGCTCTGCGGGGTCCGGAGTCGCTCTGAGGGGTCCGGAGGGGCTCTGCGGGGTCCGGAGGGGCTCTGAGGGATCCGGAGGCGCTCTGAGGGGTCCGGAGGGGCTCTGAGGGGTCCGGAGGGGCTCTGCGGGGTCCGGAGGCGCTCTGCGGGGTCCGGAGGGGCTCTGAGGGGTCCGGAGGGGCTCTGAGGGGTCCGGAGGGGCTCTGCGGGATCCGGAGGGGCTCTGAGGGGTCCGGAGGGGCTCTGCGGGGTCCGGAGGGGCTCTGCGGGGTCCGGAGGGGCTCTGCGGGGCCCGGAGGGGCTCTGAGGGGTCCGGAGGGGCTCTGAGGGGTCCGGAGGGGCTCTGCGGGGTCCGGAGGGGCTCTGCGGGGTCCGGAGGGGCTCTGCGGGGTCCAGAGGCGCTCTGAGGGGCGCCGGGCTGAGGGACCCCGGCCGACCCAGGCACGTGCTTGGGGACCAGGGTGACTCAGCACTTCTTCTCCCTGGGGTGGGGGCTTCTGGGAAATATGCAAATGAGCAGGGCACCCTTTACCAGACCCCAGTGCTTACCTCTGTTGATGGGAGCAGACTAGCAGGCTGTGAGGGGGGACAGGCCGGATGGGGGGTGTGGGGTGGGCTGGGCCTGAGCCTGGGGCACGGGGGGACCCACAGGACAACAGGGGGTGAGGGGCAGGGCGAGAGGGGGCGGGCCAGGCAGGGTGGAGGGATGTGGGGTGGAGGGACTGGGGTCTGGGGATGTGAGGTGGGAGGACTTGGGGTAGGGGAGAGGCGGGGAGGGAGGGCCTGGCAGGGCTGTAATCCCCCTTGCCTGTCTGGGGGAGGTGGGTGTGGAGAGGACTCCCTCCCCTCTCCATTTCTGAGGCAGGCTGGCAGGGTCGGGGGTCCTGACTGGGTCAGGCTGAGTCGCATCAGATCTGAGGCCTGGACCCTTCCTCACCTGCCCACCACCGTGTACCCCAGAGGGTGCCACACCTTCCTTCCATTGCCTTTCTAGCTCCCAGAAACCTCAGAAGGCCAGGCTGAAGAAGTTTCTGGAAAGTAAGCCTCCAGCATCTGAAGATCTTCACCGAATTGAGACCCAGGTCTTCTACCCCACCCCCACCCGAGGCCCCCAAACAGGAGCCCCCTTCCTGCTTGCCCTTTCCTCCTCCTCTGCCTCCCTCTTTGCCCTTCCTCTCTGCCCCGGCGTGGCCCTGGTCCCCAGAGAGTCCTTCTCTGCTGTCCACCCCACAGGAGGCGAGCTGTGTGGCCATGTGTCCCCCGGTCATGGAGCGGCACGGCAGAGAGGGCATGTCGCACCTCCATGCACTCTGGGTCTTCAGGCTGCTCCACGGACAACCGTTACAAGTGTGCTTTGCCTGCTTCAAGATTGCCTTTCTGGACTTAAAGGACCTGCTGGAGTCTGAAGAATGGGAGGAGGATGACTGGGACCTGGATCCCTTGGACTCCCCTGAGGAGGAGGAGGAGGAGGAGGAGGAGTTTGAGCAAGTGCACCCCGGAGCTGTGGCACTGGCTGCCATGGGGTTGCAGGAGGTGGGCCTAGGCTATCCCTACGTGCCAACTGAGCTGAGGCCTGAGGATGTGGTGCCCCTGGATGTGGGCCCCAAGGATGGAGACTGGATCCAGGGCCTTCCCTGGAGATGCCTGGAATTGCCTTCCTGCTCACACTGGCCCCAGAACCCACCCCCGTGGCAGTGGTCTCTCAGCTTGGACCAGCCCCCTCGGGAGCCCATGGTGCTGGAGCTGGGCACCGTGTGGCCCGTGGAGCCCATGGAGGCCGAGGTCTGGTTGCTGGGCCTACAGTTTGTCTCCATGGAGAGCAGCGGCGATACCTTCTACCTCAGGAAGATGGTCCCAGACTCTGTCCTGCAGCCCGTAAGCCATCGCTGGAAGCTGCTGTTGGACCCCGATGAGGCGTGCCAGCTGGGATTCCAGGACCTGCCCCAGTATCTGGATCTGCCCAGATGGAAGCTGAGCATTCTGGACACCACAGTGCTGGACACGCAGCTGGTGCCCGCAGACACTATGCTGTTGAAGAAGGGGTTCCGTATCATCTCCTGTTCACCCCAGAGCAAAGGTGAGGCAGAGTGGGGGGTTTCCGCCGCCGAGCTAGACGAGGGCTACAGCCAGCCTGAGAGCTGGAGCTGGGGGCCTGAGTGGCCTTTGTGGCCTTCGTGGCCTGAGTCAGTGCTGGGTGGGGTGGGATCCATGACTTTTGAGGAGCTGCCCTTCTTCCAGCCCCTGCTCCCTTGGCCCCATCACAGTGAGCCTGAAGCCCAGGCAGCCGCCATTGACATGGTTGTCCCTGGACACCAGGAACCAGAGAGGACCAGCAGCAGCCCTTCCTTATTTGCAGTGGAGCACATGGCAGAGGATGATGACCTTGACAGGTGGTGGCAGAATGGGAGGCAGCCTTAGGGCCTCGGGAAGCATGGTGGGTGCTCACGGGCAGGAGCTACATTCTCACCGGTTGCTTTTTGAGTTGTTGGGAGGTGGTGCTGGCCTGGCTGTGTTGACGTGGACATTCACGCTGCCCTGAGGTGAGGTGCTGCAGGTCACCAAAGGTGCCTTGACCAGCTCTTCCTTGGGCAGGTGGCGGCTGAGGGCACTGTGTGTGACACAGGAACACATGGGTGACTGAGTTCGGGGTCCTGCACTTTGGTTGGTGTAGTATGTGGGAGGCCAGAAGACCCTGTCCAGATCCAGGGTTTCTGGCTGTAGTGGAAGAGATCTGGTTCACGTGTTAGCCGGTTGTGCTCCTGAATGTTCAATTCCTGTTCCTTGGCATGTTGGTTTTGGTGAAATAAAGTTGTTTAAGTTGGTGTAGGCTGATGTGATATTTTTTCTCTCACTGTCTGGGCTGACCTCCTACCAGTGGGAAATCTTAGCAGTTGTTGGGAGCAGGAGGTGGTTTGGAGTTCTGGTCTACTTTTTGGCTCACTTAAGAAGGTTGTGTCAAAGGTGGTTATTTTTAAACCTGTGTGTGAAAACCTGCCTAGAATAAAGAAGGGACCTGTGTTGAACCCAAGTAATATGTTCCCGCACTGAGGGTCACCTGGTTTGTGCCCAGGGTCTGTGACAAATCTACAGATTGGTCATGTGAGACAGATGGCAATGTCTGCAGACAGTGACACTGTTTTGGGCATCTGTGTTCTACACAGAGCAGGACGTAGTAGACACTGTTCTAGGCATCTGTGTCCTACACAGAGAAGGACTTAGTAGACACTCTTTTCAGCATCTGTGTTCTGCACAGAGATGGATGTAGTAGACACTGTTCTGGGCATCTGCGTTCTACATAGAGGAGGACGTAGTAGATACTGTTTTTAGCATCTGCTTTCTACACAGAGGAGGATATAGTGGACACTCTTTTGGATATCTGTATTCTGTACAGAGGATGACATAGTAGACACTGTTCTGGGCATCTGCATTCTGCATAGAGGAGGACATAGTAGACACTGTTCTCGACATCTGTGTTCTGCACAGAGGAGAACGTTGTAAAAATCAGCTCTTCCTGGGTGTCATTGGGAGGGCAGATGGGACATAAGTTTCAGGCAGTTTTGTGTGTCTGTGTTTATAACTGATCACTGCCACCTCAAACTCTGGACCCAGTGATGGCTTAGTAGATACTGCTCTACCATGTTTCTGATCTCAGAGGTCCAGTTTTACCCATAACAGGGATAGTGTCCTCTCTTGTTCCTGTGAGGACATATGTTGTATGCACAGTTCGGAGTTCACTGTACAATGGGTGGCTCTTGCTCATGCTCCTGTTGATTGCAGCCTCTGAGCTAACGGCTCTGATCTCATTGTCTACAAGGGAGCAAGAGAGGGAACAAGGAGAACAGCGCTCTGCTTCCGAGTGGAACTTTGTGAGGATATGTGGCTTTGGGTGCAGAAATCTGGATCCCTGGGTTTCCACTGTCACTCCACCATCCATGTCCACCTCCAAAGGCCATCCCCAAAAGGGCTCTCCAAGTGTGTGTTCATGGCCTTCTTATTCAAGATGTGACATTTTGTGGATCTTCAGGGCTTTTGTTCCATTATTATCTAGTCTTCATGTGGGACCTCTCGCTCCTCCCGTTGGCAGGAGACACCCGTTTGGGTGGCTCTTTGATGCTTGGTATTCTCTTTCCCCTGCCTTTCAGCCCCTCTGGGCATGTCAGACATGGTCAGTCTCTGAGTTCAGCCGGTCTTGCCGGCATCAGTGCTTTGGCTTTGTGAGATTGCTCAGCTATCTGAGGCTGCCCAGTAATTAACTGCCCTCCTTCTCCTGCTGAAGACCTGTTTAGGTTTCAATTGGTTTGACTGATGTCACAATATCTCCAGCTATGTCTCAGACCTGGGGACGTTGGGACTAGACCTAGGGAAATTGTAGTGTTTGACAGGGAAAGTGAGTATTCCCAGCAGGGCCAAGAGGTATCTCTGGGAGAGCAGAGTGCCCACCTGCTGCAGGCGACTCAGCCAGGGGAAGTATGGTGAAGTGGTGAAGTATACCCACAAGCCCCTGCGAAGCTTGAGCAGGACCTGACCATCTTAGTACCACAGGAGGAACTGTTGTACTCTGTCAGGGCATAGCTTAGTCTAGGCTGCCCTCCTCTGAGCCTTGCCCATTCTCTTATCTTTCCAAAAGTCTTCCACAACAAATTGCTGCCTCTGCATCTTCCCAGTGGCCCAAGAGCTGAATGGATCCCTGGAGTTGGATGGTCTCTGAGCACATGAACAAAGCATCCTCTTTGGCAAGTCTGAAAAGCACCAATGTAGAGACTGGCTGAGCACCTGAAAAGAAACCTGGGAAGCCAGCCTCTTCCTGAAGAGCCTCATTTTCTACTGAATGTAGTAATGTAACTGGAAATTAGCTTTTTCAGAAAAATTACCAGTCCCAAACATAATGAACCCATTATGTACACAGCAAAGCTTTAAAGGTCATATTTAGGGAGATGGGGCTTTCAGATTATCCTTTATGAGTTAATGGTCCACTAAGTGAACCACAAGTGTGTAGGATGCTTTTGTACAGATCACATAGGCTTTGGGGGGATGGAAGCAGTCTTCTGAGCTCCCATCTGAGCATTGCTCCCTCTTACACCCTTGGCCGCTCCTGGGTCTGGGCCGAGGTCACTGGTGCAGGAGAGGGTCTAGGTGTCCCCTCCCCTCTTCAGGCCTTGAGCTTTCTCCCTTACTCCTCCTTCACTGGCCCCCACCCCTGCCACTCACTCTCAGGACAGCCAGGCAGCCCACTGTGCACAAGGTCTGACCAGAGTCCATGGTAGAATGGTAATGTGAGCTGATGCTTGTCAAGACTATCCCTGTCATTGGTGTGTGCTGCTCAGGAACCAAGAGCTGTGGGGTGGAGAGAGACCAAGGGTCCCAGGTTCTCTGTGACTGATGCTGACTACAGACAGACAGACATTCACTGGGAGACATCCTCTCCCTCCTGGCCTGCACTTCAGACAGACAGATGTCCACTGGAAGACCTCCTCTCCCCCCTGACCTGCACTCCAGACAGACAGATGTCCACTGGGAGACTTCCTGTCCCCCCTGACCTCCACTCCAGATAGACAGATGTCTACTAGGAGACCTCCTCTCCCCGCTGACCTGCACTCCAGACAGACAGATGTCCACTGGAAGACCTCTCCCCCCTGACCTCCACTCCAGACAGACAGACAGACGTCCACTGGGAGACCTCTTCTCCATGACCAACGGCACAGAGTTGAGAAATAGACCTTACAGATGCAGACTGCAGATTTAGGGGGAACATGGGAAGTCAGACTGCTCTGCTTGAATGGGTGGCATAAACATGGACAGAGTAGAGCCCCAGGGAGGCAGGGAGACACCGGTCTCAGGCTGAGTCAGGGTGAGAGACAGAGTAGGATGTGAAGAACTTGAGTTGCTCAGGCATCACACCAGTGATCTGCATGAGAGACTCCTGGTACCTCCCTGGTCCTTTCTCCAGGGGCAGTGGCCAGGCTCTGGCCTCCACAGGGACCTGAGGTGATCAATCTTTTTTTTTTTTTGTCGTGGGGCTTGAACTCTGGGCCTGGGCACTGTCCCTCAGCTTTTCAGCTCAAGGCTAGCACTCTACCACATGAGTGCCACTTTCGGTTTTCTGGTGGTTTATTGGAGATAAGAGTCTCATGGACTTTCCTGCCTGGGCTGGCTTTAAACTGGAATCCTCAGATCTCAGCCTCCTGAGTAGATAGGATTACAGGCGTGAGCCACCAGCGCCCAGCTGAGATGATCATTCTTTTTCTTTTTTTTC